ATCTAAAATCTACTGTCATTTAAAGTTAATAAATAATGTTAAAATTGGTTTGTTAATTACTATGTGTATTAAAATTCTGCAAGCTTCCCTTTCCTTCTCATAAAGCCTAAGAGTAGTGCATCCTTTAACAAAAATGTCTCTTAAAAAGGTTTTAGTTATCTTGAAACCAATTAATTAGTTTTTCAAAAATTTAACTTGATATCAATTAAATTAAATTCTACACAGTTGTTGAATTGATAATAATAATAATAATAATGCATGCCATCAATCACACAAGTATATACACATTAATTTTCGTAAAAAGACACGATTATAACAACATAGTTTTGAAGGCACGTGTAGAATAGCTGCATCACTATAAATATTCTTCCTCCCTCTTTATTGTATATCTTGTTTACACAAAGTACTCTCACGCGCGCCTTTTTGCTCTCTTCTGAACTCTTCTTTTGGCGAAAACATATACATCAAGGTATTGGTTTTCTTGAAAAAATAGACAAAAACCACGACAAGTAGAATCTGCATTACAAAAAATGTATGTACGTTCTGGTTTAGTGTTATATCACTGAAATGTACCACTGACAGATCTAATAAGACTGACGTGGCGAATGGCGTGGTGGACGAGGTTGGCCTAGGAGCCAGTGCTGCAACCGAAAACCCGAGCTCAGTAGTAGCAGCTATCCCTGCTGCTACTGGGGCTATTGCTACTGCTGCTGCTGCTGCTGTTGCTGCTATTGCTGTTACCGCCAAGGATGAATGTGTCGCTGAATCAGTAAGCAGTAGGTGCAATTGCGAACGCAGCTCTTCTTCCTCTTCAAAGAATGCTCAGTCACATACTGGTGGAATAGCATCAATTGGTTTGACGGTAAGTTTTTTCCTGTACACGCATCTATCTCTCTCTACGAGCTTTACATGTTACTTTCTGCTTTATTACAATTATCATTCTCACATCTATTTTTCCGCTTCTTATTATTATAAATCGAGTTTTTGTATCAGTGGCATGAATATACTGGTAGAGATAACTCAATNTGTTACGTATACAGAGCAAATTAATATTTCATAAGATTTATAAGTTAATGATGTTTCTGGATAGAAAATAATAAACTATAAAATGGGTCAAGTAAAAAAATTCATGATTTTTTTTTTTTTTTTTTTTTTTTTTTTTTTTACCGGCATCGCTATCAACTTTCATTAATTTAATCAATATTAATTAGAGTTTGTTTAAAGTTTCTCCGTAAGCGTGGATGAGCACAAAAAATATTTTTACCTTCTTAGAGTATGTGCATAGCTTAAGGATTATTAACTGCATGCGTACTCATTAAATAAAAATGCTTGATATAGTCCAAAAACAGTTTTAGGACGTTAATTCTAATGCAGATTTCTATGTGTGAAAGGAATAAATAAAACAAGGAAAGGAAAACTATACTTCTTTACAAACTACTAAAACGATCTATGTAATTTTTATGTTCATTGATAAATATATATAAAAAAAAAAAAAATGATTTAACTGAATTTTTAGAGAAATACTATCATAATTAAATTAGTTAAAGAGTAAAACAGTGTCTCAACGTTAATAAATGTGTTATCTTGTTTCGGTTTATAGGATAGTACGAGGCCGAGTTATGCCCAAGTAGCTCAGCATAGCCGCGAGCTACCGTGTGCAAAACACAAAGCCGACGAAAAGGATGATATCAGTACGTAGGATGCCATGTGAATTTGCAAGTGAGAGAGAAATTCAGAGACATATAATGACAGCGTCTGGTACGTCTTCAAAAAAACACAAGAAAATTTATTTAAAAAATGAAAAAATTTTGCTCAAGCAAAGTTAATGATAATAGTGAAGGCATTGGAGCTCGTGAAATTTGCCTCCTATCGCTTGAAACAAAATCAAGGGTAGCAAACTCTTGACACAAAAAAAAAAAAAAAAACAAAAAAAAAAAAAAAAAAAAAAAAAAAAATTACCAATCCTAATTTGTGTAGAGATAGTATATTCGACACTTTTAACGAATATTAAATAAATAAACGTGAAATCTCTATCTTTTTGTGCGCAAGCACTCTTTAAGAGGCAATATTTTTCTCAACATTGCAAACAACATTTGTATGTATACCACGAAAAAACGATAATTATTTGCGATTTCTCGGGGTAATGATGAGTATTATTTTTTTGGGTGGATAAAACGATGCGTAAAGTAAAGGAGAGACAAAATGCAGTCTACCGATTCGTCGATAACAAGATTGATCAGTCTACATTTAAACAATGTGCGTTCAGTGCCTTTTTGATTACGAGAAATGACGTTAGATCAAGAACGCTTGTTCATAATTAACATTAATATACATGTATACATTGTACACCCGCATATAAATACAAAAATATTTGTATATATACCTACATTCTTCCGCATGCATCTTCAATCAGCACATAGATAATCACAGGATCGGTTCTTCTTTTTTTACCACATGATACGATGTGTGTCGTACATTATATATATAAATGTGTAAATGTTATACCAATTTAGCTTATTATTTTAGCGAGACCGCACGAACAAAAAAAAATTGAGGATCTGTGCGAATAATAAAGAGGAAAGTAGGCAAGTATACGGAGAAAAATATAGTACATATGTATGATAATATTCGTGTAAGACGGCTATATATACGACGATATAAAAAAAAACAAACGATTTGATTTCGTTAAGAGTGTGCAGTCATATTTTGGGTCGCGCTTGTAATACTTACGTCGGAAAAAGGGGAGAGAAAACAAAAATAATATAGCGATAACGATAAGCATGTAGCAACAGCCAGTTAGATGTGTGAGGAGTACACGTATTTTTATAAATTTGTTTCGATATCAACGCTATTACGCTGAAGTAAATACAAAAAAATACTTAAAAAAATAAAACTTGGATGATAATATGTGTGATTGTCGTGCGAATTATATATAGTAAGTATGTAATGATTAAAAAAAAAAAAAAAAATGAAAACGAAAAAAAACACAAAATTAACAAACAAATAAGTAAGTAACTGCGTAAACTACATTTTAACACTAAGCGAAGTATATATATGTGCATATATATACAAACAAATTATCGAGCGATGGTTTAGCGGTGAAAGTGAGAAAAGAATGCAATTGTATAATCCAATTATGATTTTCACTTTACGAGGAGATTTAAATATAGGGGACACGATATGATTGTTGTATATCTATTTTGAAATTGATATGTTATTACGTTGAGAATATGGAAAAAATATTTTTATTTTTTATCATCGTTATTAATATTAATTTTTATTAAGATTTAAACAATCACGTAAAAAAAAAAAAAAAAAAAAAAAAAAAAAAAAAAAAATTACCAATCCTAATTTGTGTAGAGATAGTATATTCGACACTTTTAACGAATATTAAATAAATAAACGTGAAATCTCTATCTTTTTGTGCGCAAGCACTCTTTAAGAGGCAATATTTTTCTCAACATTGCAAACAACATTTGTATGTATACCACGAAAAAACGATAATTATTTGCGATTTCTCGGGGTAATGATGAGTATTATTTTTTTGGGTGGATAAAACGATGCGTAAAGTAAAGGAGAGACAAAATGCAGTCTACCGATTCGTCGATAACAAGATTGATCAGTCTACATTTAAACAATGTGCGTTCAGTGCCTTTTTGATTACGAGAAATGACGTTAGATCAAGAACGCTTGTTCATAATTAACATTAATATACATGTATACATTGTACACCCGCATATAAATACAAAAATATTTGTATATATACCTACATTCTTCCGCATGCATCTTCAATCAGCACATAGATAATCACAGGATCGGTTCTTCTTTTTTTACCACATGATACGATGTGTGTCGTACATTATATATATAAATGTGTAAATGTTATACCAATTTAGCTTATTATTTTAGCGAGACCGCACGAACAAAAAAAAATTGAGGATCTGTGCGAATAATAAAGAGGAAAGTAGGCAAGTATACGGAGAAAAATATAGTACATATGTATGATAATATTCGTGTAAGACGGCTATATATACGACGATATAAAAAAAAACAAACGATTTGATTTCGTTAAGAGTGTGCAGTCATATTTTGGGTCGCGCTTGTAATACTTACGTCGGAAAAAGGGGAGAGAAAACAAAAATAATATAGCGATAACGATAAGCATGTAGCAACAGCCAGTTAGATGTGTGAGGAGTACACGTATTTTTATAAATTTGTTTCGATATCAACGCTATTACGCTGAAGTAAATACAAAAAAATACTTAAAAAAATAAAACTTGGATGATAATATGTGTGATTGTCGTGCGAATTATATATAGTAAGTATGTAATGATTAAAAAAAAAAAAAAAAAA